AACGCTCAATAAAGCTGCTTATTTCTTAAATTGTATTTCTTCAAGGTACTACTATAATATAAATGCATACATATATTTCATACAATTTCTATTTGGGGCTTTAAAGTGTTAGTTCATCTAAACATAAATTCAGTCATTATTTACTCGCCTCCACACTGTTCAATCCTTGTGTGTTTTTTTTTAACATAAATGGTGATTTTGGTCAAGTTTGTCCTGCTGGTTTGTGTTCATACAATATCAGTCAATGGAGCCTGAATTTCAGATTCTTCATGATATTATTTGATGATTCTTTTGAAGCTGCTGAAACTCGGGTTTCACTGAGTGATGTTGTTTGAACAGAAACCAGCAGAACAAACTTGACCAAAATCACATCCTCATAGTCTTTTGGTCTTTCTCTAGATGCTCTGGCTGGCTCTGGGCTCACTGAGGATGAAGAGACCACAGCAACATCCGGTCCAGATGAGGTAGTAAGAGGTGGAGTGATGGTGCGTCTCATTCATGGCACTGGATCATTTCTAGGATGCTGAAAATGATGCATCTTCACAGCTCACACCAGTCTGCAGATATTTCAGATCCTGCAAAGATGCACAAACACGATACAAAAGCAGTCATTTTAACAGCACAATGTTATTTGATTTCTGTATTAGAAGAAACAAAATGATCTTACTTTATATTTTTGTTTCAGGTTTTCCCTTTTTTCCACAAATGCTGATCAAGAATCAGAAAAGTGCTGTGATAACTCTGTTTGAAATTACAATAATTAAAATAAACTACAACTTAAGATTTAAAAGATGTTTTATTCATTACTATAGTGTACTCCCTCAAAGCATTCAGCATTGCTTCATCAGTCACTCTGCACCGGATAACACACGTGTGTCTCATCTGTCCCTGTAACACCCAGACAAGAGTCAAGTCACCTCTGTGATTTATGTTCAATTCTGCATTTACATGTTGAGGTGATTTGTTTATTTACATTACTTACATTCATCTAAAGCAGTGTTGAATTCTACATAATAGTGCACATACATCACTCACTCAGATGTCTAGCTGTTTCATGTTGTGATGTGCTCATCTGCAATTCTTTTAGAACATTTTCCTGTCTCATATTAAATAGACATTTAATCGTCTTTAAAATGTATAAGGTTTATGTAAATTAACTTTGGTGACGCTTACTGAGCTCCGCTGTTCGCTATACATAATAAATCGTGTTTTTACAGAAAAAAATCACTAATATACTGTAACGTTACTGTCTAGCGTCTTACACCTTAAGCAACACAGACAACCTCCGCAATTATTACAAATGACTGGAGGTCACCAGGTAATACTAATCCCGTGCGAATAGGGCTTTACTCACATTTGTAAACACCCTCGTCGCTGTTCTCCGTCACGTTCGATGACGACGTATTGATCTCCCGTGGACTCCTGGGATTGAAATGTGTCCATCGATGAACACTTCAGATTCTGGCCTGAAGCAGTAGGACATCCGGGGATTTATCGCCTACTCTTTTATAATGTGATTTCGGACATACTAATCTGTTCACATACTCTTTTTCCCTACTAAATA